ACAAAATTGAGTCTTCCAACCTATAAACTCAGTGTATATTCTTACTCATTATACTTTAATTTTCTTCAGGAAAATGTACTTTTCAGGGTACAGGACTTACATTTCTATTGTTAAATTTATTCCTAAGTATTCTAGTCTTTTTGATACTATTATAAATGGATGTATGATCAGCTTTTTGGGATTGTCTTCTTTTACTTACATAATGTTTTTAAAGTCCATCCACAATGTAGCATCGTTCAGTACTTCATTCTTTTTTATTGCCAAATAGTATTCATTACGTGATATACTATACTTTATTCATCTCCTTGTCAGCTGATAAAGCTTAGGATTCTAAGGGTTGATGGTTCTTTTAGTAATCTGTCTTAACTTAAAACTACAGAATCTGTCTCTTTCAATGAAGTGTAGCCCCTGATGATTTTGCTGGGTTTTCAAAATTCTCATTTCTACTTTCTGGCCTGGCTCCCTAGACATTACCTCTGTGTCTGCCCAGGTTAGTGTCAGCCAGAGGTCTGAGCAGAGGCTGTGCCCAAACACTCTGCATCTGTAAGGCTTCCCCACTCTGCTGACGGAGTTGTCTATGGGCCAAGGAGCATTCCGAGTTGCACCCAAGCTTTTAAGGGGCCTCCCTTGGCTTTTGATTTTTGTGTGACTCTCTCGAGTACCCATCCCCAGGCCATGCAAAGTTTAGCAGTTGCCACAGGTGTGTGGAGAGCTGATCGCAGGGCTTCTGTGGCTCTCTCACCGCCAGGCTCACCCTGTTCAATTTCTGCCTGGTGTCCCCAAACCAGGACTGAAAACCTGAGATGGCAAAGCTGTGGGGTTTTTGCCCACAACCCCAGCCTCCCCCACAAAGTCCCTCACTTCTGGTAAAAACTGTAGGACGACAAAACTGCAGTTCTTACCAACTGAGGTGGGGGTGGGGGGAGAGAAGAGGCCCCGTGCAACTAGGCCACAAACTCCCACTCTCCTTACCCAGAACACCAGCACATTTACCACCTGCTTCTCCGGTGCCCAGAAATGACTTTTTGTCAAGTTTGTCCACTTTTATACTTGTTTTGTTGAAAATTGCTTCACATCATCATCAACGGGAGTGACCTTGGCTACCCATTTTAAATTTCTCAATTTCCCATCACACCATCGCTTATGAAAATAAAGTATGACCATAATTCCACTTCAAGTATCAAATATAGAAATGCTCTCAAGCCTGACATAAAATGTGTCATCATAGTTTGAATACTTTCCATTAAGAGAGCGGCTCTTGCACATAGTTTCAGCAAACTAACATTAACGTGCCAAAACAGTCAGATGTTCGGTGATTCTGAGGTTCCTCGGGGACAAGCTGACTGATTCTTTGGCTCTCGGCCACGTCTCTGGACCGCAATACTCTATGACGGCCCAAACACCATGGACTTGGGGTGTCATTAACAAAGCCTGACGTACATAAAAGGCAAATTCTTGAAGATTCTACCAGTATTATTATGTACTGTAATTATTCTCAACCCGATTTTGTCACGTTCCATTTTTCTCCAGTTGTTACAAATACTGTCACTAAATCCTGAAGCCTACCTTGCTTTTAGCACTATTACTTGATATTTATAGAATGCTTTATAGTTGGCGAAGCACTTTCACCTACTACCCTATTTGATCCTCGCAAAGACCTCATGGAGTAGGTAGAGCAATTATTACCCTGATTTTCTACAACAATTAAATGTTGCACATAGTTGTTAATCAGATCTAAGACCTAGGTATTCTGGCGATATCTTGTCTCAGGGCCTTGGGTGTGTCTCTGCCTCAACTTCTTCCGATGCTTTTGGCAACTTCCTTTAAGTTGGGGAAAAGAAATTACCCCCAAACACTAGTTCTCTCAACACTTCCAGAGGAGGTGAACTAGCTTAAACATTTGTTTTCTTAAAATTTTTAGTTATCAGGATATGAATGCAGACCCTGAGCAAGAAGAAATGAAGCCAAATTTCATAACCATTACAAAAGCAACTGTTAACACAATCCATGCCCACCTCTGTGCACGAGCGCACACACACTCTACAAAACACAAATCTACGAGGAAAACACTGATCCTCCCCTCCACACACACACACACACACACTGAGACACACAGGTGACGGTGTTAAGTGTCACAAATCTGGAGGTCATTCCAGAAGATCTTAAAATCTTCCTAATGCATGCGCTGAGAGAAACATGTCATTTCTCTCATTGAAAAAACTAAAACCAAAACTTCCTTGACCCCTCTTGACTCTGTAGTTCCTCTAGAGTCTGTATATCCCCCTATCCAATTCATTTATTTCCTTCGACTCTCCCTCCAATCCATTCTGCTCAGCCTCTTGTCTCTCTCACTCCGCTGACACACTCTCGTCCTCATGGCTAAACCCTGCCGTCAGCTCCAGCTCATACCTCACCTCACCCGCCCGCAGCATTCCCACGGGTGGCCACTCCTGCCTCCCTGAAATGCCGTTTCCTTGGCAACTAGAATATCCCAGTTCTTGCCTCATCGTCCGTTCCTCAGGTCCGCTCAACCTTTGTTGAATCCGTCTCCTCTCTCGACCTGCAAGTGCTGCAGCCGATCCTGGCTCTCTCGTTTTCCACCTACTCTCACTCCCTTGGCGGTCCCAACTCTTCTCAGGGCTGTAAATGCTAATGCTTTGACCTCTCTCACTGAACTGGGCTCTGTCTGCTCCTTGATCTTTCTGCTTAGATGACTGTAGAGGCATCTCAGATTTAATGTATCCAAAACTGAGCCCCAGGTGCTGCCCCAAATCTATGCCTCCCAAAATCTTCCCCAGTTCTCTAAAAGGCAACTTCATCCTTCAGTGGTTCAGGCCAGAAGCGGAGTCAACACTGACACAACTCTTGCTCTCCCATCCCATGCATAATTTCAGGACGACACACTGTAACTGGAATCCCACTGCTTCCCCTGGTTATGGCCTCAGGAACCACCGCCTCTCACCTGGGTCACTGCAAGGAGCCTTGAACTGGGCCCTCTCTGCTTCACCCTCACCATCTCCCACCCTCAGCCCAGAGCATTCAAATCACAGCAGTGTCAACAGAAAACCCATCTCATTTCTCTTCTCAAACCCCACTAATTCCTCTTCATCTCACTCAAAGCCGAAATCCTTACAATAACCACTGCTCACACGATGTGATTACCCACCACCTCTCATCTCCTCCCCTCCCCATCACTCGCTACACTCCAACACTCACCAAGCCTTTGTCTACCATTCCAACAAGACAGGCCGCGCCTGCCTCAGGGCTTTCCTTTCGCTGTTTCCTCTACCTAGACCAGCAGTCAGTCCCCGGCCTCTGTGGCACCAGGGACCGGTTTTGTGAAGACAGTTTTTCCACACATGGGGGTTGGGGCAGACAGGAGGTGAAGCTCAGGCGGTAATGCGAGTGAAGCTTCTCTTGCTTGCCCACCGCTCACCTCCTGTTGCACGGCCATTCCTGTTCCTACCAGGCCACCTACCAGCACCAGTTTGCAGCCTGGGGATTGGGAAGCCCTGGCCTAGACTGCTCTTGCCCCAAATATCCACAGGGGTTCTCTCTCACCTTCTTCAAACTCTCGGCTCAAGTATCGCCTTTTCAGTAACTGAACTTCTCTTACATTTTATGCAGAGAACATATTACCTTCTAATGTATTACATATTTTACTTCTTTACTTATTTTAGTCTCTCGGATAGAATGTCAATTCGGTAAAGGCAGGGGGTTTTGCTTTACTTTGTTCACTACTGTATCCCGGTGCCTAGAATAGTGCCTGGCACATGGGAGGTATTCAATAAACATTTGATAAACCAAAGAATCATATTTTTCAATACAGATTTACATTAATTGATCCATACACAGACCAGAAGGTTAAAGGCCAACAGAGGGCTGAATAATAGATAACTAAGAATGTTGATTGTATATGATGATACAGACCAGTTCTGTCCATTAGAAATACAGTGTAAGCCACAAGTAATTTTCAATTTCCTAGCAGTCACGTAGAAATGTGAATTTCATTTTAATGTTTTATTTAACCCAAAATATTATCACTTTAACATGTGGTTCATACATAAATTTTGAGTGAAATATCCGAGTCTTCTTTTTCTTTTACATTCTAAGTCTTTGAAACGGGGTGTTTCATGCACAGCACACCTCAGCAGGGACCAGCTGCCTGTCAAGGCTCCACAGGTCCACGTGGCCAGTGACTGCCACCCGGGGCAGCACAGATGCAGACCATGAGTAAATAACCCCACGTGGTGAACGTCATGTATGTTACTGTCTTTAAACTTGGCATTCCAGAACAAGGCCCTGGCACCACCACCTCCTAGTTTTGTCAAAACAGTTTCAACAGATGTAACGAGAGTAATAATAGCTTCCATTCTGAGAAACAATTTATTATCAAAATAACTGGTTCAATTTTTTAAAATTTAGTCCAGATGTTCTGATTAGAATGAATAAATGCCCTTATTCCCTCAGAAATAAAAGTTAAATTGGATAAATTCTGTGTTCTTATCTACATTAGCAGGAAAAAAGTCATTATTTCCAAATAGAAAGAGCTATTAAAATTCAATTTACACTAACAAAAAAATAGTATTTATTTCAAGTTAACCAAAATACATTGTGTTAAAGACAGATATAGTTGCATTTAAAAAATTCAGAACAGTTGCCTTAGTAATAATTTTGCATTTCATTATACAGAAGTGAAAAAAAACAGTAAAGAGAATGCCTTTAAATTTTTTATATATGCACTTAAATCCTCACTATGCTCCTTAATAGCTCAAGTATTATGCATGGAAATGTTTTAATTCTTTTTAATCATCAAAGGATTAACTTCAGAATCTCATTATTTATAAATATTCACTTACTGCAATTATAATAATTGCCATCATTATTCAACAACAAAATGTAAAGAACCCGATTAAAATACATAATATTTTAAAACTCTAAAGTTACAAAATTTTACTTTTAAAGAACAGTAAAACGGAAACACGGCAGCAGCTACTTACTCAGCTGTTACAGGGTGCTGTCTACCATCTCCCACAGACTGGCAGGTTGGTCCCACAGACTGGAAGGTTGGAGCTGGGATCGGCCAGGCAGAGAAGCTCCAGATGGTGAAATGTCCCAGGCTCTTCTGACTCTGGAGAGCGTTTATAAAATGCCTGCGTGAGAAAGAAAACTGGAATTACAACCAAGACAGAATTCTCGCCAGTAGACTGTCTAGACAGGGAATAACTTGTTTCTTCTTTTCTTCCTCGCTCTCTCCTTTGTTTTTCACACGAGGGATCCAAACAAGTTAATTCATGGCCCGGGAGTTGCGGGTGACCTGATAGGGCCATACTTGGTGTTACAACTGCCCTCCTGTTTTAGGAAACCCCTCTGGGAGAAGCCTAACCAGTTTGATGAAATGTGCATCCTGTACTGCAACTTTTCACCAGTCTGACCCCTGGACTGGTGAGATCCTCTATCTGTGACCGTATAATTTACCCTACAAACCAAGACACTTTTGAAGGTGAAAAAGGGAACTTTTGAGATTTATTAACCAATAAACTGTTATTACATTGCCTTTATTCTAAAAAGTAAAAATAATGTACATTCACTACATTAAAACATAAATTCTGAAATTTCTTTATACTATGTGAACACAAAATATAAAGATTATATTCTTAGTACACATTCATATACTTCAATCTGTTTTCTTATTTAGATTCTATCTATAACATTGTGTCACTGGTACTTTTTCTGGAAGAAAAAAGGTTGATAGGGCCTTATTATTTTTAATTTTTCACAAAGTTACAACAAATTTTTGCGAAGTTTCATAGTTTTTAATCTTGACCCGAATAAGTTGTTTTTAAGGATCGAGAAGGGGGAGGGTGGGCGACATCGGAACATCGGTTCCCTCCGCACGTGGCCAACGGGAGATGGAACCCGCGACCTCTTCTGGTGCGTGGGATGAAGCTCCCACTCGCTGCACCTCCTGGCTCCGCACAAAGTCTCACTTTTTGTTAAACTGAAATCACTGATATCTTCATCTGACTCTTCTCTATTATTTTTAACAAGGTAATGCCCTGTTCACAGCTGCTGAGAAACCTGGTACACTCAAAGCAAATTCTACCAAAAAGGAAGATATTTTCAATTCTTTTTTTATAGCAAAATGATCAATATTTTGGTCTAAATATTTTCATAGCTACTATCTTTTCCCCTAGATGGGTATTCTTTTCTCCCCCCACCGCTGCCTGCTCCAAGTCATTGACCATGACGCGCTGCAGGACGGATGGCTTTTCCCCAGTGCAAATCTAGTCCTGTCACTTCCCACATTACAACCCTTCAGTGGCTTCCCACGGCCCTTAGGGTGTAACCCAGAATCTTAACACGGGCACCAAAACGCTGCTCCACCTGTCCCCTCCTAAATTCTTAGGCCACAGTGGCCCTCCGCAAAAGCACCGGTCCTCCCCTGCTCCAGGGCTGCCCCCGTGTTCTGTCCCTTCCACTTGAACTCTCTCCCTTTCACTCACGGCCACCTGTCAGAGCTGAGGCCTTCTAATGCCGTCAGTCTAAATCACACCATGGTATTCTCTCTTTTAAAAGTACAAGAGGCTTCCTACTTTTTTCCTACTAAGCCTCCATCAAAATCTGTATTTACTTACTTGTGCTTTTAGAAAGCTGATCCTCACCAGACGACAGCCGCTTCCTGAGAACGTAGGCTCACTCCTGTTTAACGTGCCCCTTGATCACCACTCTCTACCCAGAACTGAGCTCAGTCCCTGGCACCTTCCGAACCTTCAGTAAATATTTGGTGAACAGAAGAATGAAAGACTAAGCAGAAGGGGGCCAGGAAACAGAGGACAAATCTAATTATTTCAGTCAACTTGCTATCTATGACCAAACCACCTCACAATCTCAAGTCCAAGCATGTCGATTTTCCCTCTATACGGGATGGATCTCATCGGCTTATAAATGGTGAGACAGAGAGAACACCTTTCTCTGGGCCCCATATCCCCAGGAATGAATGTCCCATTTCTCCTGGCATACTCCAAAGAGCTGTCTCCATTCTCACTCGAACCCGCCATTCCAATCAGGCTTTTGTCCCCATGGCTCTCCTGAAACTGCTCTTGTTTAAGCCACCAATGACTTCCACCTCAAACTATCCAACAGCCAGGGACTGAGGCAGATACTTCAAACGAATTATCTCATCCATTTAAACCATTCGCCACAATCACCCTATGAGGCAGGTACCACTGTTATCTCCGAGAAAGGTTAACTAAATTCATTCATGGCCACTTGGGTAAAAAAGCACTGGAGAGCTCTGTCTGCCTGGGTGGCTCAGTCGGTTGGAGCACCATCCCATATACAAGAAGGTAGCGGGTTGGATCCCTGGTCAGGGCCGACAGGGAGGCAATGGATGGAGGTTTCCTTCTCACGCCCATGTTTCTTCTTCTCTCTTCCCCACCTCCTCCTCCTCCCCTCTCTAAAATGAATAAATATATCCCTCGGATGAGGATTTAAAAATGTCAATTATCGGGCAGAGGGGGAGGCTGGGATGGGAGAAATAGACAAAAAACTGTACTTGAAAAATAACTAAATAAATTTAAAAAAAAAAGAAGTAACTTTCAAAGAAAAAAAGTCAATTATTTCTCCATGAAACAGGAAAAATAACTTTTAAAAAAGCATTGGAAACTATTTTTACTAAATCTAACAGTTTTCATCTTCCCAAAGACACCTGTGGTATCTAACAGAGGTGATTACTCCCCTCTTTCCTTAAACACTCTCTGCTTGGTGTCCAGGACCCTCTCCTGACTCTCCTGCTTCACTGGACATTTCTCCTTAGCTTACTCCTCATTGCCAGCCTCTTAATGCTACAGTGACCCAGGCTCTCACTTCTCAAACTGCTTTTTGTCCGTACGCCTCCGCTGGAGACCATCACAGTGGGTCTTATAACAGCCTGAACCTCTTCCCTGAACTCGAGGCTCCTATTTTCAGCTTCCTCCTTGTCACTGTCCCTTACACGTGTAACAGACATTTCACACTTTGCATTCCCTGTCCAAACTCCCCTCAGAGATGTTTCCCCTCCAAGACTGAGGCTCCTCCAGGATTCCCCATCTCAGTAAATGATCTTTCAATCCTCCAAGTCACCACTGACTTTTCGCTTTTCCTCCCACCCCACATCCAAGCCATCAGCAAACCCTGTTCGCTCTGCCTTAAAAATATGTCTGAACTCTAACTTCTCACTCCTCCCCCTCCTCCACTGCCACGTGAGCCCCCACCATCTCCACTGGGATTACCATAGAGCTTCCCAGCTGATTCTTCCCTTGCCTCACTGCACACCACTTTCAAAATAAAAGGCCAGTCATACTGATAGAGCAACATGACAACGTGGCTCTCCTCTGCTCAAGACCCACCAATTATTTCCCATTCAGAGTAAAAGGCAACATGAAGGCCTTCTTACAAGGCGCACATCTGGCTGCAGGGAACGGTAACATCTCCTGCTTCATCAACTGCCATCCTTTCCCTCGCTTACCCCACCCCTGCCCCGCTGCTCTGACCCTCCACCAGGATGTAGGCACATCCTGCCTGGCCTGAGTCTTGGCACTTACTACATTTCTCCACGGACACTTGCAGGGTGCCCCCTCACCAACTTCAGGCCTTTACTCAAGACCTCACCCATCAGGGGCCTTGAGGCCACCGTGTTTCAGGTAACACCGCATCCCTACCACTACACCTTCTACTCCACTTTCCCTGATTTACTTTTGTTTATATTCATTTATTCATTCAACTCATTCATTCATTCAATTCATTCATTCGTAACACCCCCCACTTGGTACCGCCACACTTTCTTCTGTCTTCTCTCTACAGAATTTAAGCTTCATTAAGGGAAGAAATTTGTCTTATTCAATACTATATTCTTCCAGTGGCAAGAAAATGCCTGGTACATAACAGATCTCCGATATGTTGTATAGTGAGTTAATCAAATGAATGGCTGAGAATATTGTGGGTAGGTGATTTAACTAAATCTCCAGACCCTACGGCTCTTATCGGCACCCTCCTGAAGAGCACGAGCCCTGCAGTTAGAATCCAATTTTGCATAGTACCCTGAACACAAAATCTTCATATGACTCTATCATTTATATATTTCCCATTGATATTTTATTGACAGGTTTCCTGTATTACATGAATGTTACTAACTTTAAGAATTAAACAGGGACTTCCGCCAAGATGGAGGCGTAGGTGGAAACACCTTGCGTCCTCGCACAACCAAATCTAAAAACAACAAAGTTTTAACAATAAACGCAACCAAACCACACAGAAAATCGATAATACGGAGTCCGAAAACGAAATGCTCAGCTAAACTGGTAAGAGGGGCGAAGCCAGCAGCAGAGCGGGTTGACCAAAAAGATCCCCGACCAGGAAGCTGAGGGCGTGGATCCCAGGTGCGGGCTAGCTACGGGCGGACACAGGGAAGAGGCACGGCTGGCTGGCTGCGGTTGGTCAAGCATTTGCGTGCAGATAAACCAGTGAAGAGGCGAGCATTGAGACCACACGGTGCAGGGCGGTGGGCTCACACATTTCCGCTCAGATAAACAGGTGGGGTCGAGCAGTGGGACAGACTGGGCCAGCGGAGAGGACCGCCATTGCTCCCTCTATGACCCCACCCCCACATACAGCGTCACAAACCAGCGACCTGGGTGGCCCAGCCCTGGTAAACAACTAAGGATCTGCTCCTCATACGTAACAGACACAAACAGATAAAAACATGGCTCAAGAACAACTCAGAGCCCCAGAGCCGATAAATCTAAGCGATGAAGAAATAGCCAAACTTTCAGATGCACAGTTCAAAACACTGGTGATCAGGATGCTCACAGAACTGGTTGATTTTAGTCACAAATTAGAGGAACATATGAAGGCTAAACTAATTGAAATGAATGGTAATGCACAGGAAACCAATAGTAATGGAAAGGAGACTGGGACTCAAATCAAGGAAGTGGATCAGAAGGAAGGAAAAAGTGACCAAACAGAAAAGAATGAAGAAACAAGAATTCAAAAAAATGAGGAGAGGCTTAGGAATCTTCAGGACATCTTTAAATGTTCCAACATGCGAATTATAGGGGTACCAGAAGGGGAAGAGGAACAGTCACAAGTGGAAACCTTATTTGAACAAATAATAAAAGAGAACTTCCCCGTTCTGGCAAAGGGAAATAGACTTCCAGGAAATCCAGGAAGCTCAGAGAGTCCCAAAGAAGTTGGACCCAAGAAAGAACACACCAAGGCACATCATCATCACATTAGCCAAAATTAAAATGAAGGAGAGAATCCTAGAAGCAGCAAGAGATAAGGGGACTGTCACCTACAAAGGAGTTCCCATCAGACTGTCAGCTGATTTCTCAAAAGAGACCTTACAGGCAAGAAGGGGCCGGAAAAGAGGTATTCCAAGTCATGAAAACCAAAGACCTACAACCAAGATTGCTCTATCCAGCAAAGTTTTCATTTAGAATAGAAGGACAGATAAAGTGCTCTCAGATAAGACCAAATTCAAGGAGTTCGTCATCACCAAGCCCTTATTATATGAAATGTTAAAGGGACTTAGCTAAGAAAAAGATAAAAAAGATGAACAGTGAAAGGACAGCAAACTCACAGTTATTATCAACCACACCTAAAACAAAAGCAAACTAAGAGAACAGCTAGATCAGGAGCAGAACCATAGAAATGAAGATCACATGGAGGGTTAGCAACAGGGGAGTGGGAGAAGGAGAAGGGGGGAGAAGGTACAGAAAATAAGTAGCATAGACAGTAGATAGAAAATAGGGGGAGAGGGTAAGAATAGTAGGGGAAATACAGAATCTAAAAAACTTGAGACACGTGTTCATGAACTAAAGGGGGGAATGGTGGGGGAGGGGTGTGCAGGGTGGAGGGGAACGGAGGGGGGGAAATAGAACAAATGTAATGGCATAATCAATAAAAAAAAGAAACAAACAAAGAACTAAACAGGGTATTTTAGAATATGACATCCGGGTCACAATTCCAACTCCTCAAATCACATTCCAGCCACCTGATCGCTCCCTCCTTTGGTGAGGTATGGTCATGTACTAATGCATCGCCTTGAGTGTGGTCTTCGCAGAAGAGTCCCTGCGGAGCTCTCGACATTACCTGATTCGTTGCACTACCTGGGGTTTAAACTGGGTGGTAGGAAGAACAGTGACTGAGAGACCGGCTGTGGCTGCTGTCTTTTAAAGGTTCTTCTTTAAACTTCTCAGGTGTATCTATAATTGCCTTTAACTCTCCCAAAGGCATTTCTCCGCGTGTAGGCAAATGATTTCAAGGTCCTCTTCATGAGTAAGCCTGTCTTCTGAGAATGGCACAACTCACCAGCTGCACCAGCTTGCACACGTGTCCATCTCCAAACCCTAGACTCCAGGGCTCCACCAGGTTCCTAGTGGATTCCACTCAGAAATATTTTATCAATGCAGCATTTTCATGTGCTGAACTATGGTCCACAGTTAAAACTGCAGAAAGTTGGATTCTGATATAACTATTTGACTCTCGAACACTGTTAAACCTTGCCTCATTTCACCAAGCAATTCCAAACCATTTGCATTTTTCCTGAGTCATTAACCTCCAACTTACTGAATAAAAACTACACTTTTAACACAATGCTATTAATGCTCTTAAATACCAATATAAAACACTGCTAAAATCAGGATAAATCCCCAAAAAGCATATGACCCAGTATATGCCCAAAAGCATATGACCTAGTATAAAAACTCTAAAACTGTATGTAAGGCCATCATCCACAACATCAGAGGATGGTGCTATTCTCAACGTTAATCAAGTACCTACTATGTGCCGGGTAGTTTATCCTTATCGTCATACACAATCCGAATGGTGGGTATTCAGCACCTCCCTAAATCCCACCAGTGCATCCTTTTACATGCTGACTGGGTGTAGTTCAGTTTTAGGAAGCAGAAATTGGTCCGTTTTCACCAGAATAAGGAGCTAATATCTAATGCCTATAACAGGACTGTTGTATCTAATAAATATGGAAAGATCAATCTTAACCCCCAGGCTAGAGTGTAAACTTTTTCAGGAACTCAGCCTAGCAGGCTCAAAGGGCACATTCTCCTCCAAAGGATACAAACCATTCTCCAAAGGAACTGCACTATGATGACCATACTCAAGTTTTTCAGTTCAGGTTTTCAAAAGATGGACAGTTTGTTGTACTTTTCCCTCAAATAATTCAGGCAAAAGTTGTTTTCTCCTTGTCATGTAAGTTGTGAAGTCTTACATTACTTTTTGTTATGGAAACATATTAGTGAGCATAAGCTCCTTGAAAAAAAAATATAGATTCCATTGCTGTCCTTTACTCCAAAGTGAACTAGCCTTCTGAAGGGGCAAAAATAGAAGCCCAGCCCTTAGAATTTCATGAAAAATGTTGTCTGCTTTCTTCAAAGCTTAAAAGCTTCACGTTAGTCATCAAAATAAAACTATCTCCAACTGCAGGTGTTTGTCAGAGGACTTGAGATGAACAGAGTAAAATCAGCACCCACACCAAACACATGCTGACAACACCTAGCATTCCAGAGCAAAAAAACAACCCAGCGGTCCTACTGGTGACCGTGATTTTCTAAGCTCCCCTCCTGTGTACGGTTTCAGACCAACAGAGGAGCCAGACTCCTGCTCCCGAGCTGCCCTGCGCCCGGCCCGCATCAGCCATCACACGCACCTCCTGACCACCGCGTCCCAGACTCCACTGCTGTCTCTGGAGACCCGATCCACGGGAACGTGCTCCTGGGCCTTTTACATAACTGTGGTTGAAGATATTTTTCACCAGGTTCTTTAAACAAAGATTCACGTGACACATTTCTGCTCGAGTTTAGTTCCAGGAAATGTTTGGTTTCTGCAGATGTTTATGTGCTTCCGGTTGTCACTACATGAAAACGCTAGAATCCTGTTTCTGTTTGTCACTTGAGCATGCAGAAAAGGTAAAATCCAGTATGTGACCGAGTCTACTCTGAACACTGATTCACAGGAGCACTTAATCTTTCAACTTCTTTGAGATAAAGTTGGTTTTATTTTTTATAAAGTTGCTTTATCTTTTGGCCTGAAATGTGTTAAGCTGCTTTAAGTGCTTTCAGAACTAAGAGAAGCTGCAAAACGTAAATGAAATATATAATGTCAACCTGCTTGTAAGTTCCAGAATAAAATAGGAGAAGAAAAACTCTGTGGTGTTTTTACACTGAGAAGGTATAAATGCCCAGAATTCAATTTTCTGCTACCCTCAAAATACAAAAGTTTCCATAAAAAACAAAACAGTACCCTCCCCATTTTACCCAAACCTGGTTCACCAGCTCAAAATACTCAGATACGGCCTTGGTTGAAGTTCCCTACCAATCCTAACGTGCCTGAAGATTTTATAAACTGTTTTGTAAGAGAGTTCTTCAAACATTACTTTGAAAATTAAAAACATTTTAGAAAACTCAATTAAACCGATTTTATCACAGGTATACACTGTAAGTCACTTCACTTGGAAAGCAGTCCCAGTTCCAGGGGTGGGTGTCGTGATCATTACCAGCCAAGAACGGTTTGTAACTCCTTCCCAGCACTGGCGTTCAGCAGTAAGTGGCTCCCGGTAAGTGACCAGAGTAGCAAGTCACTAAAGTATCCATCAAAATCTTAAAGGTATTTATTACTATATTCATACTGTCTCCTTTCGCAAAGCATTTGAAACAGCCTATAAAAATCCAAACACTACAGTAGAATTATATTTTATAAATATAAAAATACAGACAATGAAAAAGCATGCAAATTATGTAGGCCAGAGGTTTCTTAAATCTAGCCGTAAATTTGGCCCTACACTGTCTGGTCAATAAAACAAAAAGAGAAAACCAATCAATTACAAAATTCACACCAGCCATGATGGATTGGTAAGTCTCAGGAAAAACAGAATTTGTTCTGGTATGCAAATCTGAGAAACGAATCTCTCACAGATTATTATGTAAAAAATACACTGGGGTCTTCAATACTGTCCCTGAGCAATATCCTAATTGGCTCAGCGGTTTCTCATAGGATGTAACATAGACAGTAAAAATATAAAGCTCTTGATAATCTCGATGAGTAAAAGCATCCAAGAGAACTTTTTGCAATAATGAAAACGTTCTGTATCTATACTTTCCAATATGGCAGCCACCAGCCCCATGTGGCTAGTGAAATGATACTAGTGCAAGAAACTGAAATTTTAGATATATTTAATATTAATTCCAATAGCCTTATTAGAAAAGCAAATTATCTACCCATTGGACCACACAGGTCTAAAACCTTAGTCATCAAACTCTTTTTAATAGCTAATGTATTTTGGGGTTGGCAAACATACATGAATTCTAACCAAAAAAATTACAAACTGTACACACTTATTTTTGTAAGTTTGAGTTTATAATATTCATTTATAGTCAATGAGAATGAGTTTTCCAATAAATAAAAATCAGAAATTGAAGGTTCTGAGTAATAAACTTAGATTAGCCCCAGTAAACACTTTACTCCTGTACTGCGATTAAATGCACGGTGCAATGCCCACATGGGACTTCCAACTACACATTCTGAGCTATCCAATTACCAGAGGCCACACACAGCGGCCGTCTCCTCAGAACTCCTAAGAAAACAAGGCATGACAGCAGTGTTCATGTGTTCCTCTCCATGGGAAGAATTTTCCCGGGAGTCCACATGGCCATCCAAGAACTACTCTCTGACATGCAGATGGAAGCTCAGGTACAAGGAAACGAGACTCACAGGGCGGGTACAGATGCCTGCTGGCTCAGAAGCCCTATGTCCCCAAAAGAAACCAGTACCTCGCTGATTCAAGTGACAGCTTCCAGGGTCCCCCCAAAGTTTATGCCACCTCTGAAATGTGCTCCCAGTTATTTCTCCTAATCAAGAACTTAGGGTTCCTGTGTAGTTCTTTTCAGTGCTAATACATTTACCAAATAAATATCATTTTTACCACAAGCAATGCTGCCTAGTAACATGGTTGACTTTCCACTTTTAGCAGGATTCAGAGGAAATGGATACAAAGTTTTCATTTAAGGTCAGATTTCTCCTTCGAGAATGAGAAAGAGTTTTGTTAATTCTTTAACCATCATGCATGTTCTTTTTAAATTTACTGATATGAGAAAGAGGAAGGGGAAAAGGGATAGAGGAAGGTAGGGAGGCACACTGATTTGCTGTTCCACATATTTACGCATTCATTGGTTGATTCTTGTATGTGCCCTGACCCGGGATCGAACCTGCAATCTTGGCTTACTGGGATGACACTCTAACCAACTGCTCAGTTGGCCTGGGAGGCTGCTCATGATTTTAGAAGTATTCCTAGCACATCAAGAATTTCCTCTACAAAAACCTAAAACAAAGTCATACTTAATTATTAAATAATAAAGTATTTCCTTTAAAAACCAGGAAATGAGATCAAGGTGACTACAACCACTGATTCTATTCAATAAAGTAGAGATCCTAGTGAATTTAATAAATGAAGTTAGACATACAAATGTTAATGAAGTGACAAAACTCTTTATCTCCAAGTGATAACTGTTTACACATGGAGAATTATGAAGAAAAGCTATTAAAACTAATAAAACATTAATTCATCAATGTTGCCGGATAGATGCAAGTAATAATACAATAACTAAAAGCCAAAAAACTCCCCACTACTTTGTAATTTCCATAGAAAAAGCTACCACTTAAGATGGCAACTTAAACAACAAAATGAAACAAAACCCCCTGAGCTCACTGACAGAGAGAACAGACTGGTGGGCGCTTGCAGCAGGGGACAGGGAGGGTGGGCAAAATGGGTGAAGGGGTCCAATGGGGACGTAACGCACAGCATGCGGACCACAGATGACAGGGTGTTACAAGTTTTAAATGAGCTAGGAGTGGATCTTCAAAGTTCTCATCGCAAAAAGGAAAAATCTGTAACTGTGTATGGTGACAAATGTTAACTAGACTTACTATGATTAGTTCATTATGTTGTACACCTGAAACTAATATAATGCTGTGTGTCTATTATATCTCAATTAAAAAAACACTAGAACCAAATCTGAATGAAAAATCAATTGACATACTTGTAAACTTTTTCTTAGTTCTGATTCCCTACTTATATGTCATTTTATTTTATATTTTTGCTGTAGAACGGCCTCAAAACTTCTTTGAAAAAAGGTAAGCCATTAACAAATAATAATAAATTATTTTTTAAAAGATCCCACCAAATCCATGGAAGTAAACACCAAACCAAACCCTCCCCTGGCAGGAACCAAGCACTGACACTCGAGGCTCTGTCACTGACTTGTACAGGGAAGCCACAGTGGTTTGGAGAGGGGGCTACTCTGGCTCGGGGCAAGCTGTCAGGGTTCTCTCACCTCCTACGTGGCCACAAATACAAACACAAGCACAATGAAGGATTCCCCACAAATCCTGAAGGAATTATGACAGAAATAACAGATCAGAATCTTGGGGTGGAAAGTGTATTTTTGATTTAAAAAATGCCCCCTCATAGTCCTGATATACTCCCCCCATTGTACCAACAAGGCCCTCAATCCCTGCCCCATTTGAAATAACTCAGTTAAATTTATTCTTTAAAATTGCTGAATTCCCAACAAGTAGTTTATTGAGCACCTACTGTGTGTCGTTGTCAGGAAGAGATTATTCTTATACCTCTGCACAGCAACAGCTTTCTGGGCACATTTATGAAGACCAAGGTTAAAGGATGACCCTTAAAACCTCAAAGATGACTGAACAGAAAGTAAGTGATCTCTCTCCCTTGAGTTAAGTGTTTATATTTTGGAAGCATGAACCATAGTCACTGGGATATTCCAGGGGTTAAAAATTAGGAATCTCTTGACTTAGCTTATTGATGTAAGTAATAATCTGTCCCTGCCCCAGAAACCTTGTGCTGACTTTCAGAAGAGTATGAATAAATAAAGGTATTAAAAACTCACCAGTCATGGGCCCTATGCTAGTTTTTAAGGACAGAACTATAAACAAGAGGAAGTGCCTACGCTCAGAGCTCACCGTCAATGTTGGCACTGGAAAGTAAACAATCGTCACCAGATGGTGTGACAAGTCCGTGACAGGAGATGTCCCGGGAGCTGGAAGAGGTCTGGAAATCTGAACGGAGACCTGACGGATGAGGAGTTAGCCAGATGCCTTCGTCAAAACAAGAGAAAAATCCCGAACCAACCAAGCTTCATTTTCTTCACGTAACGAGAAACAGCAAGGGAGGATGGCTCGGTCAGGCCGGACAAGGCCCACGTTCCTCCTGTTTTTCTCCTTTCCCCTCCTCAGTGCGGTGACGGTGTTTGGGCGGGGTCCCTTCGTGCCTGGGTGGTGGCTGCTGCTCAGCCTCAAGTGGGCTCAGCTCCCAGGTTAACTCGGGGAGGACAGCCGACTTCCTGTCCCACGGGCCAGAACTGGGTCACGTGCTCACGCTCCAACCATCAAATGGCAGGAATGGAACCCTCGTGATGCCAGAGGCTGGGGCCTCAGCCCACCCTCCCCGAAGTCCAAGGACACGCCGAGAGGAGTGGATTCTCAAACAAAACTGTGTTTCTGTTAGATAGGAAGACTGCGCTGAGAGCTTGCAGGGAAAGCTATGTGCTATTGTCATTAGGTAGTATTTCCTTTTTACATAGTACTGTATTTGTACTTCTTAGGTAGTACTAAGAAGAAATATAAAGAAAAAAAGACCACCTTATTCTTAACCATATACAAATTTACATTTTTTAAGTTTTTAATAGAGCAAAACTAAAAATAAATGAAACCAGCACAGTATGAGCTAAGTCCCACCAAGGCTGGGAGGACCCACCGCAACTGAGGGAGATCCGGTCTTAAATAACCAGAGGCAGTTCTCAAAGAGGGGAATTATGAAATGACCAGGAGGCTGATTTATGTTTAAAGGCACAAAGGTAAAATTTTAGGGATGAATAGCTGTGTTTACTCAGCTGTAAGAGAGACTCTGTGAGAAAATGCATGGGCAAACCCATCGCCCACGACTGCCCATCCTGCTGTATAAAGGCACTGGTACGTATTTGATCAATGAGTGACTGAATGAATGGGCTTGGATCTGAGTACCATCTGACCGGAAACTACCCGGAGTTTCCAATCAGAGGACATGTATGACCAAAAACTATTTCTGATGAAAAACTCTTATTTTTAGCAAGAATGGACGGGAAGAAAGTAAGACAAAAAGTGTCATCCATCGGGAAGCTACTGAAATCATCCAGGCATAAGGCAATCAGGGCCTTGATCCAGGGGTTCAAGAACTAAAAGTCAAAATTACAATTCTAAAAAGCGGTGGTTATGCATAGTTATTTTATTTACAATGTCACAAGCATACAGAAAAAGTGTTGCACTTTAGATTCACTTATTACTACATTATGAAAAACAGGATGGCTAATCTTTCATTTAGTTAAGTGATCCTGAATTTTAAGCAGTTTTTACAGCACTTCAATAGACGTTTTGCCCTAAGTTTCCTTTTCAACTCCAACAGGAACCAGGCACAACTAGACCTAAGTCCGCCAGAATCATGGTCTCTGTGGCCTCCTAGTGCTAGCTGTCTAGAATGACAGCTTCAGTAGCAAACTAGTAAAATTGTGCAGGCGTGCCTCATTTTATCGCACTTGTTCGCTTTATTGCACTTCATAGATACTGAGTTTTATACAAATTGAAGGTAAAACCCTCCACCAACATATAACTTACAACTTGCTAAATTTAGGCTCAGATGATAGTATTTTTTTAGCAAAAAAATGTTTTTAAATTAAGGTATGTACATTGTTTTGTGGTTTTTTTCAGACAATGCTATCACCTGCTTAACAGACTACAATATAGTCCCAACATAACTTTTATATGCACCAGGAACCAAGAAGTTCATGTGACTCACTGTATCGCAATATTCGCTTTCTTCAGTGGTCTGGAACCAGACCTGCAGTATCCCCAAGGCACACCTATCCAGACTCATTTTGTCCCCTACTTTTTCTTCTACATTTACATCAAGTTACAATGACGTCCCCCCAAATAACACCTCGCACACCATTTCACAAGCACGCTAAGGCTATGGTGGAGGTAAACAAAATATCTACAAAGCTAAGAATCATTAGATCATTCATGCTTATATCTCCAGCATTATTATTTTCTATAGCAACCTATGAGAAGCTACTGCTAGGGATCTTTCTGTTTTATCTTTGTTTCAAACAAGATTTTACTTACTGTTGGCTCGTATCTTACATGCCATTTCGTCTTCATTTCACCCCTGGCAACTTTTATCTGTACATTTGCTTCTCCACAACTACTCATTATAAAAGGTAAGTGCTTCTACCTGTCACAAGACTCTAGTAACTCTTCCTCGTCGAAGAATTTCCGGTCTTTTGGCTGGGCTGGGGTATTTCTAGCTCATTGTGTGCACCTGGCAGAGCTCTTGCCGACCAGCAGTCTTGGTCCCACACTAATGGGACTCCACTTCCAGCCAGATCCTGAATCCCCCAGTCCCTCTGGGAGGCAGCAGAGATGCTCCAGCCAACCCAAGAAAAGACCATCAGGTCAGAGAGGAGGGCTGGGTAAGGGCTGGCAATGGGGTCCATTAACAACATGGTCAGCACAAAACATCCAGGTGCCTGTTCCAGGAAAACAAAGTTTTCAGAATACAAGCAGCCTACACTCTTCATGTCATCTGTACCCTTCAGTCTATAAGTGACAAAATATTTCATCAGAAGAGCTAAACTGGCTCAAAGTCACATATCCTAACTATACTTAGGAACCTGGAAAATAGCTGAAATGAGGAAGTGATAGAGAAAATCTAAGCAAACAAACAATACCCTTCTCTCCAAAAAGACAACATAAACCAGGGAAAACAAACCAACATAATGTGTTAGAAAAAACAACCATGCTGTGAATAATGTTTTATAGTTATACTAATATAAACACTGATTATTCAAAACTTAAAGGAGGGCCCTTCACCTAGGGTAAGGGTGTATAAGAAAGATAAATCCTCTTCATCTCTCATGAGATATCAAAGGTAATGCCTATGGCTGAAAAATTAAAAATTGGAAAGAACAACAAGTTAGCTAGCGATCGGGAGATAAAGCAGAACCAGGCCTCCAAGATGAACCCCCTAGAGCAGGGACCGGGGGAGGAGTGAGAGGGGGGAGGGGTGAGAGCTGGGAGATTGCTGAGTTCTGCAACAAGCCTTGTACAACTCTTGAAATTCTGTGCATATATAACTGAGATTAAAATTAAATTAAGTGACCAATCAGAGAACAGAGCCTAAGGTTTCTAACTGTGTAATCCCTTGAGAAAACACTGATTTTTCTGATATTTTATCTACAATTTAATTTTCTATCGTTCTTGTTGTGACTCTTCATGGAAGCAAAAAAAAATAGTCAAATATTCACCAACTGGATTGGGAACATATGAATCCATACGAGGTGCTGGGAAAACGGGAGTGAGATCCTCCTGCAGAAGGTCACTGTGTTAGAGAAACAGGTAAACACACCAATCACTGAAAAACAATGAGATTACGCACTCAACACTAACCATTCTGTGGGCCTTGGCTTCCTCGTCTGTAGCACGCCTCGTCGGGTTTTTGTGAACATTTCATGATTCATGTCAAGTTCTTGGAGCACGGCGTGCCACAACATAAGCCAAGTGAGGCTGAAAGACAAACCCATGCCTGTCTGACTTAAAAGCCCATGCTCATTCCGCCCCATCACATTTCTAAAATAATCCTGTTCTTTTTGTAAACAAGAAACCCACTTTCCTCCTGGATCCAAATGGTATCATATGAACAAATAGTGACTCAGTATGTATGAAAATGAAGTAGAATAGAATCTAAGGGTAAAATAAACCACTTTTCCAGCTTTTTCCCCTTTTCTAGTTCTCTTTATTTACAAATATTTGATTTACTTAAAAATAGTTCCCTATGTCTTATGAGTTAGGCATGATTAAAAGTAAAGTTCTTGATTTACCAAGTAAAATGTGGTAGTGAACTACTTTCATAACCAGAAAATAAATTAACATACCACTAGATGGCACTGTACTAGATAACTTTTTTCAAAAAAAATGTTTTGGCAGAGATCCAACTTAGCAAATTAAAAGAATGTTTTCTTGCAACAGAAGAAGGTAGGCTTATATTACTCCTGTTTTAAGCTATTTCATGGCTTTGAAAATAAAGACATGGTTTAATGGAAAAGAAAACAATTGTATAATCAGGTTAAATTTTATTTTTTAAGTATTCTGGTATCTTAAATATCCTGATATCTTCTAAGAATAAATAACTCTGAATGTCCCTCTGATTTATAATACAACAAATAAGTACAGGAACACATGAGGTTTGAACTGTAGTAACGTGGGCAAGGTGGAACTACATTTCCCAGAATTCCCTTCCATGAGTGGTTCAAGGTCAGAGCTGGCCAAGAGAGGAATGTACTTGAGATTTGAAAGGAGGAACTATATCATCAACAGCTGTTACTCTCTGAAGCCATTATTTGCTTCTTGGTTAGGTGGTGACAGACACGGACACTGCTGGGTTCCAGCTTACCCTCACAGCCCTTTGGACCATGTTCAGCTCTTCTTCCCAAATACTGGACCTACTGACCAAGAAAACGCCCAAGGACCATCACCAGACCTTTGACAGGAGACACAGAGGTGGCATTCAGGAAGTATTTAATTACCAACTGATGTATATTTAGTTAGCCATAATAACAGTAAATGACTTAAGCTCCTCTTCACACAGCAGCTTTAATGGAGTATTATGTGCTATTAATTTAAAGAATTTATTATAAACTTTTGCATGTTATCAAACGTTGCATAACCTTTTAAAGAATAAATCACACCACAGGGTAATTAGTGGTACTGAACATTTACAGATACTTAAGATGTCCGAGAGAAACAGTCAAGGTATCCATGGCTGAAAATCCTCCAACATGTGTAGCCGTCTGGCTTCAACAGTCAGGCAAACGCCTGCGTTTGAGTGCCAATCACCAGAACGGCTCCTTAACTAGTTTTATTTTCCGTGTGGATAATCTACGTCTAGTGCTTGAATCCATGAGACATGTACATAACAGGCTCAATAATCATGTACTAAAAGAATTGGTGAGTTTTTCCCTATTGATTCAGGCTGTTCAACTCCTTTAACATGTGTTACCAGAATGTAATACAAACAAAATACCTCAGAAAATAAGAAATATAATTTGCTTAGACAACTTCTGTGAATTAAAAAAAATAAGGTTTTTTGTTCTCTCCTGTTATTTCTTGTGTTTGCCTCTGGGAATGTTAGTTAATGGCATTGCATCCATACAGAGAGCACCCTAAGTTGTTTACCTAACACGAACTTCCAGAAAGTCATAATGCCGTGGGCCGGTCAGGCAGCATTCTCTCCATCTGTGCCTGTTGTCAGTGTTCACGGAGGAATCCCTGCGTTCCGAATCCTTTACAACCACCATGTCCTAGGCGGCCTCCTGTACCCCGCTGAGACAGGTACTATTACAGAGATTCCAGTGCTGACAGGTACTAGATGGATAACCCAATAAGGTTTAGAGAGACTGAGGAGCTTTTCCATGCTTATACATCCAATACTTATCGAAACCCAGATCTTAATTTGGACTGGGTTTGACTGCAGAACCCAACTTCCCAACCACCATTCAACAGACCATCCTCCTCTCCCATTAGATCAGACAACTTGAGAAATAAATGTCTGCCTCTCGTTCATCTTAGTATCTGCTTACAGCATGTAATGCACTTGTATTTAATATGTATCAAGAGTTACCTGTTGATTAAAGATAGTCTGAGTGCGAAAACTAGCTGAGATATTGCCTGATGATCAAAGAATAATTCCTGCTTCAAATTAAACTAGAGAAACACTGTACTAAGTTTCAGAAAACTTAACAGGGCAGACAACGATGACGAAAACCAGAGGGTAATTCAACTAGAGTCATGTAACCTCCATACCTCAAATCTATCCTAGTCTTTACAATTCCAACTGCATTACAGGGAAATCACATAATATTATCGTATCTCCAGACCCCTATATTCTACTGACTACTGGGCTTTCTTCTGAAATAAACTCCAGGTCTCTGCCTGTGGTTAAATGGGCCAAATCCAGCCATGTTCTGAGAAATGACAATGAGAGAATAACTTGAAGCATCAAACAAATGCTGTGTAAAAAAAGATTCTTTTCTGCCAGCCCTCCCCAACCCCACCCCCAGAGATGCCACCTGAAGGCTGTGTTGCGCTTGCTGAATTAATGCACTGAAGTTTTGTCCTGTGAAGACACTGGATCCTGCTCTCTCGTGCCTGCTAGCGAGAATCCCCTTCTTGGTACTCCTAATGAGTAACAGACGGCCGAGTCTGTCCAAATACACACCAAGACATTTACTACTATACAATGTGGGGTACAAATGTTACCCATTTGGACTACAACTGAAGCACAATAGTCTCACAGTAAGCAATTTTATGGTAGGTCTAGAACATTACCAGGACTCCTTGTTCTTTCACGATTTTATTTCCCTCCAGCCAGCAAGCAATTCCTTAGAGTGAGTCCTTTCTTTCCTTTCTTTTCCTGAGTCAGTCCTTTCTAACAGGCCACTCTACCTCCACTGCCAGACTCCAGCTGAGCTCTTCTCTCACATCCTGAGGTACCCAGGGCAAGTCCTTTTCCCTTTGGGCCCCCGACACAGTCATTTCATATCACTGCTCAGCCATCAGTCCCACCATCTAAGCACCCAGAGGCTTCCTTCTCCTTGAGCACACGCTCGGCCCCACTCCTGTTCTGTTTAGCGTGGGTTCCCATCCCTTGCTAGAAGTCAGTTTCTTCTACGACTCTGCCAGCATCACCCACTCACCTGACTCAGCAAGAGTCACACAAATTGCATACTTTAAAAATACCTTAGCTGTATCTCAAGCATTGTTCTTTCCTTCACATTTGAGGAAAATAAGGCCTGAACATTTGATTGCAGTTTAAGTCCCTGACTCTAGGTAGGCAAACACCCCCGTTGTCCATGACTTTTCCAGTGAGAAATGTTTCACTACAGACATTAGCTGCTTTTAAATTTATGCAGTCAGAACAAAAGCCTTGAAAATACAGCAAAAGAGATTCTGCACTTCCTAATCACCTGGATATTAAAACACTTAAATGTGTACCACTGTAAATGTTCTAGTTCTGCCAACCTTCAGAAAAAATAAAGCGCAGAGAAAACTATCTGTCATCGATGCTATGGTATTACTTGCCCGAAGGAAGAATGCAGGGTGCTTACAGTCCCTCTGATTTTATGCTTTGTTTCCATCATTACTCCACGAGGTAATCGGATCCACTCTAATGATCCCAGAAACCACTTATCCTTTTCCAAGCATCCACCAGAAGACTGAACCTGGCTTCTAGTCCTCTTCTCTCTTTAAACTCCTTCCAGAAATGGGCTTCAGAGACTGACTTTCTAAAATCAACACGGACTGCAGACTTTGAGTTTCTTTATCAATTGGTCACAGAATGTGGATGAAACTCAAAAACTCACCGAAAGCTTTCAAAGCACAACACTGAACAAAGATGCAGAGATAAGCACGGCCGCCTGACCTCTCCGAGCCCCCCGGGGCTTCCTTCCATGCGGGTCCCGAGTTCCAGCAATAACTGCTCTGTCCCTGACTTTTTTACTTTGTCACGATCGTCCACTCCAACAGCCTTGCTATGTCATTGTCATTGCTTAGATCTATAAAGAAAAATGTCTTTTACTGGCACAACCCAGAGGACTGAAAAATTCAAAGAATTTATAGGTTAAAAAAAAAAACCCCAAACTTTAGCCCTGACTGAGAGTTGGCCCCACTCAGCTCTCTTTCTCTATTCCTACAATGGCTGTTCCGACCACGTGTGACACATTCAGACCATCACAGCATACTTATACTAAATGCCTTATACTAAAATAAAGACCTTCCATGCCCGACCGCTGTGGCTCAGTGGACCGAGTGCCAGTCTGCAAACCAAAGGGTTGCTGGTTTGGTTCCCTGTCAGAGCACATGCCTGGGCTGCAGGCCAGGTCCCCGGTAGGGTGTGCGTGAGAGGCAACCACACCTCAGTGTTTCTTTCCCTCTCTTTCTCCCTTCCTTCCCCTCTCCCCTCTATTTTATTTATTAAAAATAAATAAATAATATATTTTTTAAAAATGAAGACCTTTCCTCCACCCTTTATCTGTAATCTACCTCAATTTTAGGCTCCTGCTTATAAAAATGTAGGCTATACTCATTGTCTCTACTCATTACGGACCACTGCGCTTCATCATTGAAAGAAGCTTCGAGTGACACTATTTAACAATTATTCTCACTGAGCGCCTCTGACTTGGTCAAATCCAAAAGCCTCATTTTACTTCTCACTCCTCTCCCCCACCACCGTGGCAAAGGATACTCACTACTTCCCTTTCTGAATCTGTTCTCAGACAGCCTCTTCCTGACTACGCCCTTCAAGTGTTGAAGAGTCTGGAGTCCACGGCTCAGCCCTCTGACACTGCCCAGCTAGCTCTCATTTCTGCAACATCACTCACTCGCTGTGTGACTGCGTACTCTGTATCTTTCACTCCTCAACTTCAGTCACATTTCCAACTATCTGCTGCTTATCACCATTGGGATACCCCATTCCCAAATATCCAGGCCAAACCCAAGGCTTCCTCCATACTCCCCTAGCCAGAGGTAAAATCTACAACAGTTTCCTATTTTCCCATTTCTCTCACAACTGATCTTTATCGCTCCAGGCACTAAATTCCACAAATTCTACCTCCCAAAATCATATTCTCCACTGTCTTCTCTTCCACATCTATGCGTCAATGCCTCAATCCAGACCCTCCATCTCATTCATTTGGACTATTGCACAAGCCTCCTAACTAGTCTATTCTCTCTTTTGTTTTTCCCCTCCAGCCCAATTTTCATGCTGCTGTCAGGCATTTTACAAAAGTGTGAACCTGGCCCTGACTGGTGTGGCTCAGTGGGTTGGGCACTGTTCAACAAACAGAAAGGGCACTGCCAGTCTGATTCCCGGTCAGGGCACATGCCTCGGTTGTAGGGCAGGCCCCTGGTTAGGGTCGTGCAAGAGGCAACCGATACATGTTTCTCTCCCTCCCTTTCCCTAAAAACCAATATATAAGATGTTTTAAATAAATAAAAACTAAAATGTGAACCTGCGCCATTCCTCTGATGTTAAAACCCCCAGAAGTTCCTCGTGGCCACAGCGGCAATGACCCGCTACCGGCATTTTACAGCACAGGGCTCCATCTGATCTCATTTCCCCACTGCTCTCATGAGCTTCTCGGCTTCTCAAAAAATGATCCTCACACTTCTACAGCTTGGTATTTGCTCCTTCTTCTTCTCCACATGATGAGCAACTACATCCTCTCCAAGCCTCAACTCAAATGCCAGACCTCCCCCGGCCAAATTAATGACATGTTTCCCGGGCAGTCTGTACACGAGGCCTCTGCGGCAACGCTCACCACACAGCATCCCACTCACTCGTCTCTTGCTCCCCAGACGTCAATGAAACCTACCCAGTGGAACACCTCAAGACCAGGATCTGTCCTTGCTCGTTTTCAGCGCCCCCAGATTCTTCCGAGTCTCCAGTGATCTCTCTCTCATCCCAGATCTCTGAACCATCAAAGCTCGGTGAGTTCTCTGCCACACCGATGGACTGTGGTGAGCGTGTCTACTACAATGTGTGGGAAAATCAGTCATCTGTTTATTTAACTAACATTTATTGGATGTGCGATACCCAGATGAGTAAGACTTGACCCCTCCTACTAAAGAGTCCAGTCTAGTAGAGAAAACAAGCTCACGAACAGATGTTCATGCAATGTGCTGCAGAAGCCCAATGACAGAGTTATCCCAGGACATTCTGGAGACAGAGAGGCATGGGGGAGACCATTAATGCAGCAAGCGTGGGGCACTGAGAATAGGAAAAGGCCCCTGGAGGGGTCTCCTGGGCCTGATGGCACCCGAAGTGAGTGCCAACTATACCAATGAACCACATTAAGTTTCTGTCAGATGCCCCATACAAGCAGTAAGAGTCATGACATTATATAATAAATATCTATCTGATATAACACCTACCTGATATCACATGATACCATGACTTGTAGCAAATATATCCAGATCTCAAATTGTGAAAACAAACCACACAGCCTGTGATTGATCACCTGAAACACTCCCTTCTCACTCCCTTTTTTCTGTCCCCTGACACCCACTGACCACGACCACATGTAAGAACACCCATGTCTGTGCCGGCATGTGTGGAGTCCGTGCCCCTCCCATCACGCCCCCTTCACTCACGTTCCATGCTATCCACACCGCAGTCCCCTGGCTTGCCTCACACGTCCGATCCCTGCTCACTGTCCTCTGACCCCTGCCTGCTCTTCCTGCGCTCACCTGCCATGGATGCTGCAGAACCAGGCCGAGTCAGTTACCCTGTTCACTCAACGGTGATGTCACCAAGAACAAGCATATCTCTCTGTGCTAAAAAGAATTTGTGAAAGTTCTTTTTTCACAGGATAAAGTCTACCCTTTAATTTGAAACCACAGGTATTACTGTTACTGTGATTTAGCCTGTAAGTCTTCGGGGGACCCAAAGTTTTTATCTTGGAAGAAAATAACCCTATCGGAAAAGAAAAATCAACATCATCCATGAAGTGAAGAAAATTCAGTATTTCATTTTTGGCTTTGTTACTGTTTTACTACATAATTACCCTGGTCCATGTAATCTCAAACCCTAATAGAAATCTTGAAATATACTACATCACATGAAGTAATTTCTGAAGTATTTTCCTGGTTTTGCTATATATTATTGACAATTATTTTTCTAATTTGAAAATGGATTAAATACATGTATAGTTACAGAACATAAAATCCAGTATCATCTTTCGATTCAGTATTTACATTTGTCAGTTACTACTTAACATTTACTATGTATTAATTGCATCTCTACAAGTTCAATTAACAAAGCATATAAATAATACAACTGTGCTTAAAATTAGGAGAAAAGGGAGAAAGAAAATAGGTGATCCCTTACCTGGCATCTGATCTTAAAGTTACACTAATGGGAAAAAGGGAGGGAAACAGAGGGGGAGGGGGAGGGCACAGGTAAGAGTAGTTCAAAGCGAAGGAGAAAAACTGATCGAGTAAGTGTTTCACTTACAGTTAAAAGATTCCCAGAAAACAAGCAGTAACGTCCTCCTCCATCCCTCCATCCCAGAGCTGAGTTGCTGCGCCATTCCAGGTAGGCTGGGTGGTGCTGAAAGGAAGAGATGGGTTTGAGCTCTCCAAGTCGGAGTGATGAAAGGCAGGCCAGCCACTCATCCTCCCACCTCCAGCGCTTTTTAGAAAGTGAATCATCAAATTAAACGTTATAATCCAATTTCCAAAATTGTTCTACTCGACTTAAAACTGCTGTCACCTCTAATAATCTTACAGGCAAATGCACTGGTCTCAAGCATCATTCTCTTTGGATTCTGTGAACAGCTGAAGCTCCTGGTCACTCCGCCTTCTCTGCTCCCGACAGGAACCCCACTGGCTCTCCGCCTGCTCAAGGCTGCAGAGCTAGCTCCTGCCCCTAATCAGCCCCCAGATCTCGGCCTCCCCAAAGGCGCAGTCCTCCGAGCTCTGGGCTCTCTCCATACCCATCCCTTGAAGAACTCAGCCATCACTTTGGAAGGACAAATGTGAACTTCTCCCTCTTTGGGTAGACATTTCAGCATGAACTGAGGTTCTATAGTTTCAACTGGTTGGGAATTTCCCCTTAAATGTCTAAAACCAAATGAGCACCCTTGTCCCCTCAAAACTGGTTTCTCTTTCCAGTTAGTACATGCCTGATTGTTCTTCAGATCTGGATGGCTCGAGACTACTTTTTTTACTCTGATTTTCCTCTCTCTCATCCTGCTGCACTCCTGTGTCCTACCCATCCCTCTCCCACCTCCCTCAGCCGACTGCATCATTACTCTACCGCTCGATTACTTCACTGGGATCTACCTCCCATCTCTCCCTGTCTTCAGTCCATCTTCGACACTGCTACCAGTTTACCCTTCTCCTAGATACCATGGCTTTTTCCTCTTCATACCGTTGCTCCTCTTCTTCAGAAAAGTGTGGTAGCTCTAAAGTATGTTCCCGGATTCTCTGACACTTCTCTTCTTTCAGGGAGGAACCCAGCCCCCTTCCCCTTGAATGTGGACTGAACTCACTGGCTCGCTTCTAAGGCACAGAATGTGGCAACAGCCCTGCCTGCACCCAAATCCCTGCCCCACAGAAACCAGTAGAGATAATAAATGTCTGTTGGGATTCTAAGCCCTAACTTTGAGGGTAATTTGTTACATGGCAATAGGTTATTGATTCAGAAGGGCTCTCTGCAGCTGAGTAGGTCAAGTCCACACTTTTAAGGAACTCAAGGTCTCCCACTAACTGCCCTCACTTTACCTTTGAAAACAGAGACACTGCCTCAGTTTCAGGCCAGCGAGTCCACTGAGCCCCCGTGACATGACAAAATC